AGCTCCGCCCCTCGGCTCACGATGAATAAAAAATTCATCACAATTGAGAACGGGTGGGTGGGTGGGGCTTATATTTTGTTCATTTTTTCTTAATATACGAAGTTTTCTTTTTCCTTAAGAAACTAAAAACATGTTTAACTACCGTGTTATCGAAACAAAACTATATTTATTAAGACAAAAAAAAAACACAAAGATTAAACAGGATCCACCCTTTTCGATCTCAGTTATTATCATGAATTTTTGATTCGTAGTCAAACCTAGAGGCGGAGCTTATCTACAAAATCCATATTTCTCTACAAAATTTTACGATTATAACATCTTAAACATTATTTCGGTTTCTTGTTGGGAAAAGGAGACTACGTATATTTAAAAAAAAAAAGGCAAAAGAGAAGGCCCACCCACTCGCCCTCATCTCAGTTCTGATGATTTTTTCATTCGCTGTCAGATCAAGGGGCGGAGTTTAATTGCAAAATCTACATTTTTCAATAAAATTTTACCCTTTTAAAAACGTATTTCACATGGTTAGTTCTTGTAGAGAAATGAGGATTTTTGCAATTAAGCTCCACCACTCGGCTCACGATGAATAAAAAATTCATCACAATTGAGAGCGGGTGGGTGGGCGGGGCTTATATTTTGTCCATTTTTTCTTAATACACGAAGTTTTCTTTTGCCAATAAGAAACTGAAAAAATGTTTAACTACCGTGTTGTTGAAGCAAAACTATATGTACTAAGAAAAAAAAAACAAAGATTAAGCAGGACCCACTCGTCTCGATCTCAATTATTATGACAAATTTTTCATTCGTTGTTAGACCGAGGGGCGGAGCTTATTTACAAAATCCATTTTTCTCTACAAAAATGTACGATTATAACACTTTAAACATTACTTCAGTTTCTTGTCGGGAAAAGAAGACTACGTATATTTAAAAAAAGGCAAAAGTGAAGGCCCACCCACCCGCCCTCGTCTCAGTTCAGACAGAGGGGCGGAGTTTAATTGCAAAATCTACATTTCCCTACAAAATTTTACCCTTTTAAAAATATATTTCACATGGTAAGTTCTTGTAGAGAAATGACGATTTTTTGCAATTAAGCTCCGCCTCTCGCCTTACGTTGAATAAAAAAATAATCACAATTGAGAGCGGTTGGGTGGGCGGGGCATATATTTTGTCCCCTTTTTCTTAATATACGAAGTTTTCTTTTCCCAATAAGAAGCTGAAAACATGTTTAACTATATCGTGTTGTCGAAACAAAACTCTATATAATAAGAAAAAAAAGGTTAAGCAGGACGCAGCCGTCTCGATCTCATGCAATTATGAATTTTTTATTCGTTGTTAGACCGAAGGGCGGATCTCTACGAAAATTTACGCTTATCACATTTCAGTTTCTTGTTGGGAAAAGAAGACTATACGTACATATAAAAAAAGGGCAAAAGAGAAGGAGCGTCTCAGTTTGGATAATTTTCTCATTCGCTGTCAGACCGAGGGGCGGAGTTTAATTGCAAAATCTAAGGCCCCGTTTATAGAACGTCGTGTTAAATTTTAACAGTGAGTTAAGTTAAAGCATTCCCATTGGCTGAAGTACCTGGTTTTGACCAATGAGATGCCAGCATTCCAAATTAACTGGATGTTAAAATTTAACACGCAATTAAATATTTAACTCGCGTTCTATAAACCGGCCCAAAATTTCCCTACAAAATTTTACCCTTTTAAAAACGTATTTCACATGGTAATTTCTTATAGAAAAATGAGGATTTTTGCAACTAAACTCCGCCTCTCGGGTGACAATGAATAAAAAATTCATCACAATTGAGAGCGGGTGGGTGGGCGGGGCCTATATCTTGCCCAACTTTTCTTAATATACGAAGTTTTCTTTTTCCAACAAGAAACTGAAAACATGTTTAAGTATTGTGTTGTCGAAACAAAACTCTATATGTTAAGAAAAAATTAAAAACGCAAACATTAAGCAGGACCCACCCATTTCGATCTCAATTATTATGATGAATTTTTCATTCGTAATCAGACCTAGGGGCGGAGTTTATTTACAAAATTCATATTTCTGTACAAAAATTTACGATTATAACATTTTAAACATCATTTCAGTTCCTTGTTGGGAAAAGAAGACTACGTATAATTAAAAAACGGTAGAAGAGAAGGCCCGCCCACCCGCCCTCGTTTTACTTCTGATGACTTTCTTATTCGTTGTCAGACAGAGGGGCGGAGTTTAATTGCAAAATCTGTATATTTTCCTACAAAATTTTACCCTATTAAAAACATATTTTACGTGGTAAGTTCTTGTAGAGAAATGACGATTTTTTCATCTAAGCTCCGCCCCTCGGGTCACGATGAATTAAATATTCATCACAATTGAGAGGGGGTGGGTGGGCGGGGCTTATATTTTGCCCAACTTTTCTTAATATATAAAGTTTTCTTTTCCCAACAAGAAACTGAAAACATGTTTAAGTATCATGTTGTCGAAACAAACCTCTATATATTAAGGAAAAAAAAAAAAACAGAGATTAAGCAGGACCCAGCCGTCTCGATTTCAATTATTATGATGAATTTTTCATTCGTAATCAAAGCAAGGGGCGGATCTTATTTACAAAATCCATATTTTTCTACAAAAATTTACGATTAAAACATTTTAAACATCATTTCAGTTTCTTACTGGGAAAGAAGACTACGTATATTTAAAAAAAAAAACAGGCAAAAGAGAAGGCCCACCCACCCGCCCTCATTTCACTTCTGATCAATTTCTTATTCGTTGTCAGACAGAGGGGCGGAGTTTAATTGCAAAATCTGTATATTTCCCTAAAAATTTTACCTTATTAAAACATATTTCACCTGGTAAGTTTTTATAGAGAAATGAAGATTTTTTGAAACTAAGCTTCGCCACTCGGCTCACGATGATTAAAAAATTCATCACAATGGAGAACGGGTGGGTGGGCGGGGCTTATATTTTGTCCATTTTTTCTTAATATACGAAGTTTTCTTTTGCCAATAAGAAACTGAAAACATGTTTAACTACCGTGTTGTCGAAACAAAACTATATTTTTTAAGACAAAAAAAAATACAAAGATTAAGCAGAACCCATTCGTCTCGATCTCAATTATTATGACGAATTTTTCATTTGTTGTCAGAACCATGGATTGAGTTTAACTGGAAAGCCTAAAATTTTTTAAGTGTATTAAAAAAAAGGGCAAAATATAGATCCCGGGTTAGGTTAGTAATTAATTTAAGGGAATCTGAAGGGAGAACCGAAGGAAAGAGATTCGAAACATCAAAAAAGGCAACGAATGAACCTGGAGAGATGATTAAATGTTTCAAAAACCTTTCTGATACAGTTTTTTCGGACAATGACTTAGAGGTTCTTCAAAGAGGACTTAAGTATAAACCCCCTCAAAGGATTGGCGATAAAGATGTACATAAGCACTTTTATAATGACCATAAACTTTTAGTAAATCCGATAATAAATTCTGTCCTACAAAACTCACTTAAACCAGTGGTTGGAAGTAATTCAATTACAAGTAATTAATTACTGTTCAAGCAATGAGTAATTATAACGAATTACGTATTTTGAGTAATTCGGTCACCTGTTTACCTGTCCTGCTGGGATTATTATACCTGGAGGTATAATACCACAAAGAGAAGATTAACCCAGTAGGGAGTGAAAGTCTAAAATAAGTTTAGCACAGAATTTGTTAAGAAACCAGGTAATCATAATATGCATAAGCTCTTTATCATTTTAAGGGTGAGCTAAATCATATTCTAGCATAGGGAAATACATATAAACTTTTGCCCAAGTTTTTGCCAAAAGTATACGTCCGATTGTAATAAACTTCACGCCGTTGAAATGAGTGCAAAAAATTCTACTCAGACTGCTTTTGCGTTTTTTAAATTTTGTTGTCAAAAAAAAAACTACAACTCGTTAAAATTGTGATGAGTATGAGATTTTCTGATTTTCACTATTTATGGATCAATTTTAAATTTTCAAAAAGGTACATTAGTAGAAATTGTAAAATAAAAATCCATTGATTGCGCTTTACAGAAATAAATATCTTAATAAATAATACAGTAAACAGCGGAAGAATATTTAAAATTTGTGGTCAAACAAACTGTAGTCATTTTTCTGGTCCACTCAAATCTATAACAGGTAACGGTATTTATTTGTTTTATTTTACTTACTGATGATCACTGATTTGACACACGTAAATGTTTAATAAAAATATTATATATAAAAATCTTTGCAAGTTCTTAGAAGTCAAAACAAATAATCTTGGAGATAGGGTTTTCCTCGCAGTACAGCGCCCGTTGTTTGCCGCTGTCGGCGCCGCGACGCCCTCCGCCCGAGTCCCGCCGGCCGACAGGTGGCGATCGCCATTACAATACGGGTGAATGCCGGCGTGCGTTGGCTGCATCGATCCGGCTGCCGCTGCCGGCGACCCTGCTCTTGGTCTGGGTTGTTGCCGCTCCGCTCCGGTGTCAAGGTCTCCGGACCGACTGAGGCCTTCCCGACACCCGGCACGTGTCCGCTTTGGCGGTCACGGACGCCCTTGGCTGCGTCGAGGGAAAGTGGGTTTTCCGGGAGCGAGCAGGGTGCGAAGGTCGAGGTCGGGGTATAATTACGCGGGTTCGCACGACTAGACACAGCGCCGAAACTGGAGCTTTTATCGAGCGCTCGAGACACCCTGTAGAGTCGAGGCTGTCGAAAAAATAACCCAGTGACTCCTTCACGCTTTCGTGATAATGCCGGCAATAAAATTCAATCATTGGAAGTAAATCAAGCAGGTGCAACACTATACGATCGTCATAAAAATTATTAACTGTAATAATGAATACTCATTTGCGGTTTGCCGGGACTGTCAACGCTGGAAGTCGAGAACTGGTACCAGATATCGGCATTCCAGCGCTTTCAGTGATGGTGAATGTGGGAGAGGAAAAATTTTTGAAAGTGGTGGTGGAGTTGGATGGATGGTGTTGTAGTACTAACAGTACTGTTTTTTCAGGTGCTGCCGTTTACTTCCGAGCGTCTACGACCATCATCAAGTAAGTTGCAACTGCTAATTATCGACGATGGTATTTTTCGATGCAATTAATTCGTACTTGCGGCTTTTACAGTCTAGTAAATTCGAGTAATTATTATTAATTTTAATTTGAAGCTCGAGTGCATACACAGATAACCTTAATCGGAAGTAGGGTCTTTCTTATTCTAATGTGGGGGCTTTGTTTTAATTGCGTGAAGGAGCGGCTTTTCAAGACGATCTTCTAGGAAGCAATTCAACATGTCAAACTAATTCAAAGCCCGAAAACTATTGCCAATTCAATTTTTTTTTTTTTTTTTAGCATTACATAAGCGTCAATTTTTTTGATGGCCTTACTGAACTCGGTGAATATTATTCGCCTCTCTATCCCACTAAGCTCTGACCTAAAATCTCCATTACCTAACTTATACGTGATCCCATGTAAAACCTTCACCTGTAATCAAAATAAATGTTTGTGGTTTCGCGACCGCAAGGAGCGCAGCGATGCCTAAAATTTTTCCCTGCATTTGTTCCATGTTCCACATTCGATAAGTCTCTGAACGCTCAACCTCTAGATCCTCCGAAGGAGCAAAACTGGTATTTATCTAAGCTGCTAAGTGCCACAGGGCTCCGTCTATTAGAAATTCATTAGAATTATTCATCATCTGGTAGTCCGGAACGCTTAATTGATTAAAGAGGCAAAGAAGAGACTTTGTCGTTTACCTGACTCGTGTTTAGATATTGCCGCAATAAATCAAGATGGGTTTTTTACAAAGAAATGTTAAATGTCCGTTGGCAACTGCATTATCCATTACACTAACACTATTGTGTGGTAATTTTAGGCCAAACTTTCCTCCGAGCACCTTTCAAAGTCCCCGATGTAATTAACTCGTAGGTACATAAAATCTCGTAGCGTCGAAAACCGTGAAAATTCACTTTCCCGACTCCTCTTTATCGTAAATCAATTTAATGACTTGATGATAGTTGCATTAACGAGTGTCGGCGGTATTTTCGTTTTTGAGCGGGTAATCTACTTCATTACGGTTAATAAGGCCTGTATGTTTTATTTATAAAATGGGCCGATAATAATATAAGATAAGGCTGCAGCGCTGCCACTTGCCAGTATTCGTCTCGGTCGCCATCGTCTGAAAACAATAAAAATTTACTGGTTCTAAAACTGGAATGGTTGCAAGAAGTGGTAATTCTTGTGCCCTGAATGTTATTTTATGCGGCAAAAACGGACGTATTCAACGAGGATAGCGCGTCGTAAGTCATGCTGAGAGGAGATCGCGGTTTGATTGCCGTTCACCCGCACAAGCCGGGAAATTCGAGCGGGGCACTTTTACGAGACGAAAGTGTCTTAATTTCGCGTTTTCGCGACGGTCCGCAATGACAAATTAGTCAAAATCTTACTTTAGTCCAATCATTCCATCATTTCGTCTTTAGAAAATATTCAAGTGCAAGCTCTAGGTTTCGAAAAGCGCTCACGATTACGTTACAGCCCTTTTTTGAAGTCAGTTCGGGTGTCATTTATACTCGAACGGTGCAATGGAAGTCCGTCCGAAAACCATCGAAAATTCGACGGGGCCCCATCACAGATGGGCTGCTACGGGCCTGCACCGTCTCAAAATTTCTGACGTTTAAATTACATACTTATAGATACATCTTGATTAAAAGTCGGCTAAACCTTTCAGGGAAATGGGCACTAGTCATGGATGGACAGAGATTCGTGGTTGCCTAATTGATATTCTTAAGCTGATATGTCTTAAAAGTAGCCAAAAGTACAAAAAGATTAACTATAATTACGGCCAGGAACGAGACGCAAATCCGCCATTTTGTTCGAGGCAACTACACGGCGAGCACTTAGCTATAACTGACATCCGCTGCGGCTTTAACTGTCACCGTTAATAGGTTTATAAACGCTGTTTAACTATAACTGAACAATGTTGATAACGTAAGTCATTACTTTAGTTATTGTCGGTTAGTAATCAGCAGATGGTTTTAAAATTCATACTTTGACAATAAAATTAGCTAGTTGTGAAAAATCAACTATCAGTTATAGTTAATAGATCGAAAACTAAATAGAAAACACGTTCTGGTGGTTTTTTAAAGAGCGTTGATGGTCAAGTCGAAAATACAAAAATAAACTTAAATCATGTAAAGCAAAGGTTGTTGGTTATATACAGTGAGTCACTAAACACCCTTAAAAAAACCTTAAAAACGCCTTAAAACCCGAACACTCTATATAGTATACAGTTCTCCAAGAACTATATAACTTAGGTTTTCACTTTTATTCTAATTCTAATAGATAATGAAATATCGAGGACCGCGCGCTTAGTGACTCACCCTGTATAACTGAAGCGGGAACGTTTTTAAAAAAATGAAATGACGTCATTAACTTTCTAGGGGGGTAAATATTAATCATGCAGATCAACTTTCATCCAAGGATAGGGCTTGAAACTCTCTCTGAACGTACATGTTCTAAGTTTCTTGTTCTAAAAAAAAGACTAAGGACATTAAGAAAAAAAGGCAAAATATAAACCCCGCCCACCTACCCTAACTCAATTGCGACGAATTTTTCATTAGTTGTCAGACCGAGGGGCGGAGCGTAACTGTATAATCGATATTGCTCTACAAAAATTTACTATTTTAAATCAGTTTTAACCACAAGAAACTTCCATGTGAAAGAATCCAATGAATAACCCCCACCTATAGCTGCTCCGATCTCAATTGTGATGAAGTTTTTATTCGTTGCCAAACTCAGGGGCGGAGCGTAATTACAAAATCCATATTTCACTAGAAGAAGTTACCAGTTTAAATATTTTTTAAGTTTCTTATTGTGAAAAGAAGACTACATATATTAAGGGAAAACAAATGCAAAATATAAACCCCGCCCACCCACCCCATCTCAATTGGGACGAATTTTTCATTCAAAGTCAGACAGAGGGGCAGAGCGTAATTGTAAAATCGCTATTTCTTTACAAAAATTTACCATTTTAAACATGTTTTAAGTTTCTTGCTCTGAAATGAAGATTACGGATATTAGGGAAAAAAGGTAAAATATAAGCCCCGCCCACCCGCCCTATTTCAGTTGTGACGAATTTTCCATTCGTTGTCAGACCAAAAGGTGGAGCGTAATTGTAAAATTTACAAAAATTTACCATTTTTTACATGTTTTAAGTTGTTTGTTCTGAAAAGAAGACCACGAACATTAAGAACAAAAAAAGGCAAAATATAAGCCCCACCCACCCACCCGTTTCAGTTGTGATGAATTTTTCATTCGTTGTTAGACCGAGGGGCGGAGCCTAATTGCAAAATCGATATTTCTCTACAAAAATTTGCCATTTTAAACATGTTTTAAGTTTTTGGGCTTGCCAAGGTAAAACTGATTTTGGCAAATAACATACCTTCTAAGAAAATAAAGGGTGGGTGGGCGGGGCTAGTACTTGTCAAGATGAAACTGATTTTGGCAGATGACATACCTTCTAAGAAAACAAAGGGTGGGTGGGCGGGGCTAGTATTTGCCAAGATAAGACGGATTTTGGCAGATGATATACCTATATTAAGGGAAAAAAATGCAAAATCTAAGCCCGCCCACCCGCCCTATCTCAATTGTGACGAATTTGTCATTCCTTGTCAGACAGAGGGGCGGAGCGTAAATGCAAAATCGATATTTCTGTACAAAAATTTACCGTTTTAAACATGTTTTAAGTTTCTTGTTCTGGAAAGAATACTACGGACATTAAGAAAAAAAAGTCAAAATATAAACCCCACCCACCCGCCCTATCTCAATTGTGACGAATTTTTTAATTCGTTGTCAGACTGAGGGGCGGAGCGTAATTGCAAATTCGATATTTCTCGACAAAAATTTACCATTTTAAACATGTTTTAAGTTTCTTGTTCTGGAAAGAAGATTATATACATTAAAAAAAAGCAAAATATGACCCCCACCCACCCGCCCTATCTTAATTCTGACGAATTTTTCATTCCTTGTCACACGGAGGGGCGGAGCGTAATTGCAAAATCGATATTTCTCTACAAAAATTTACCATTTTAAACATGTTTTAAGTTTTTTATACTTCCCAAGGTAAAACTAATTTTGGCAAATGACATACCCTCTAAGTAATGAAAGGGTGGGTGGGCAAGGCTAGTAGTTGCAAAGATAAGACTGATTTTGGCAGATAACATACCTTCTATAAAACTAACGGGTGGGTGGGCGGGGCTAGTGCTTGCCAAGATAAAACTGATTTTGGCAGATGACATACTTTCTAAGAAAACAAAGGGTGGGTGGGGGGGCTAGTACTTGCCAAGATAAGACGGATTTTGACAGATAACATACCTTCTAAAAAACTAACGGGTGGGTGGGCGGGGCTAGTGCTTGCCAAGATAAAACTGATTTTGGTAGATGACATACCTTCTAAGAAAACAAAGGGTGGGTGGGCGGGGCTAGTACTTGTCAAGATAAGATGGATTTTGGCAGATGATATAGCTGTATCAAGGAAAAAAATTCAAAATCTAAGCCCCGCCCACTTGCCCTATCTCAATTGTGACGAATTTTTCATCCCTTGTCAGACGGAGGGGCGGAGCGTAATTGCAAAATCGATATTTCTCTAAAAAAATTTACCATTTTAAACATGTTTTAAGTTTCTTGTTCTGAAAAGAAGACTGCGGACATTAAGAAAAAAAAGGGCAAAATATAAGCCCCGCCCACCCACCCGATCTCCATTGTGACGAATTTTTCATTCGTTGTCAGACGGAGGGGCGGAGCGTAATTGCAAAATCGATATTTCTCTAGAAAAATTTACCATTTTAAACATATGTTAAGTTTTTTGTACTTGATAGGGTAAAACTGATTTTGGCAAATGACATACCCTCTAAGAAAATAAATAACTGGTGGGCGGGGCTAGTACTTGTTAAGATAAGACTGATTTAGGCCACTAATAAGTATTTATAAATTCCCATTAATAAAAAAGGACCAGTTACATAGTAACCAATAATGTCGCACCGAACATTCAGTTTTTCTGC